GGTCTTAGCATTGTTTATGGAATAAAGTACATGGAGGCCTTGGCTACACTCGCGGATTCACAGCGCTGCTGTGGCAGCGCTGTGAAGCGCGAGTGTAGTCGCAGCGCTGCAAGTACTCCACCTCTCCGAGGGGAATAGCTTGCAGCGCTGCGAGAGAACGTGCAGCGCTGCAGGCGCTGATTACACTGGCGCTTTACAGCACTGCACTTGCTGCGCTCGGGGGAGGGTGTTTTTTCACACCCCTGAGTGCAGCAAGTGCAGTGCTATGAATTGCCAGTGTAACCAAGGCCGGAGAGAACAACAAATCTAGTTGTGAAACTTAAATGTAGCCAATTGTGCTTTAACCATATGCCAAGCTGTGGCAAAATAGTGTCATCTCTGAGCACTTCATTAAGGATTAAAATGCTGTGAAAGTCTATTAAGAAAGTATTTAGCTCACTAATTGACTGACTAGAACATGGCAGCTCCTTTAAAGCCATTCACTGCACTCCATTGGGTACAATGAAAGTACTAAAATTTACATATTTTATGTGGAAGTAAAAATTGGTTTGGTTATATAGTCTCACCTATTTAATACCCTGGGAACTTGCTTCCTTGAACAAAGCCAAGACTAACTGATCTTCAGGCTCATCCATTTTTTCAGAGATTTTTGGCGAGGAGTGAATAAGAAGCTTGGGGTGCTTCTTTTTATGGTGCATCATCGCCTATGACAAGATTCCTAGTTGTTAACGGGGCAACTTGCAATATTATGGGATACTGTGAAGCATTTTTTATGACAACTATTTTTGTCTCAAGAATGATTAAGGTACTATATGTACAGGTGCAGAAACATGGAAAGGCCCTAAAAATATCTAAATTATAAAACCACCCTCCTTCCCTTCTCTCTTTTTACAAGTCAACCAATTTGGTCAGCCTGAATATGTTCACAGTATCACATCCTGACACTTGTCCCTATTACTTAACAGATAACAGCATTTACAGTGGTGAGCAGGTAGAGACACACAGATGCTGGACATGTCAGATGGCATTTTCAAAGGATCCTATGGGAGTGAGACACCCACATACTATTGAGTTTCCAGGGAATTTGGGCACTTAACTTCACAGATGGTGTTTAGAAAATCCATAAGAACATAATAGCAGACATACTGGAGTCAGGGCCAGGGGCTGAAGCCTGGGTCCAGCCCAGAGCTGCAGGCCGGCCCGAACTTGGGCCTGGGGACCGGCCCAAAGGTGGGGGCCGGGCTGGAGCTGTGGGCTGGGCCAGAGTCGGGGCTGGGGGCTGGCCCGGAGCCGCACCGCCTGGCCAGCCGGAGTCGGAGTCAGGGCTGGGGCCGCCCGGAGCTGCGCGGCGCCTAGAGCCCTCCTTGCACCCCTAGCCCCAGCTCACCTGCAGGAAGCTGCTGCTTCCTTCTCAGCCATCCCAGGCTTCCCGCGCTAACAGCTGATTTGTGGGAAGCTGGGAGGGGGAGCCTTCAGGGGAGGAGGCAGAGGCGGAGCCGGAGCCAAGTGAGCTGGAGCCGGGGGCAGGGCAGGGAGCTGCTGGAGCTTTTGTTAAATTTAAAAGCCCTTTTAGAACCGGGACAACTGGTTCTAAAAGGGCTTCTAAATTTAACAACCGGTTCCCGTGAACCGGTGGGAACCGGCTCCAGCTCACCACTGGTGTGAAGGTTGTCTTAACTCTGAGTTCCATAGCTATGCTAACCTAATCACCGGTGTAGACGCAGCTTCCATCAACCTCACTGCCATCACTGTGGGAGGTGGTGTTCTTATAGAGGTGGAAAAAACCTTCCACTGCCATAGGCTGCTTTGACACTACAGGGTTATGGAAGCATAGCTACCCTCACTCCTAGAAGGGATCCCCTCCATCCATAGGTGCTGGAATTAGAGGTTCTGGGGGTACAGCAGCACCCCTGCTTTGAAGTGGTTTGCAGCATGTACAGGGTTTACAGTTTTGTTCAATGGCTTTCAGCACCCTCACTATAAAAACTGTTCCAGCGCCTATGCCTCCATGGCTGATGTGGTTAGGTTACTTATGGGGAAATGTGAAGTGTTGCTGCTCATACTATATCCCCTCCTATGGGTAAACAGTTTCCAAGACTGTTAATTTAGCATTTTTTCAGAAGCATTACATTTACAAAATAAAAGATCATTTCTATAACTCAATTCTCTGTGACAAATTCTGTCCCCAGATACTAGTCCACCACTTCCACTGGCATTAACAGCAGTTATACATGAGTATTGGAGGGCAGATTCTGGCCCCATTATTCAGCAGTATTTGTTGTGGGAACTTCCCTCTGACTGGAAGAAAATAAAAGTTCCTATTGACTTTGATGGGATGGAAAATGAGATTTAATATCATTAGCTCAGTGCTAGGGTAGAATTCCTAGCAGTATGGCCTTCAGGAGGCAGTACTCTTGGCAATGACAATTCTGCAGAGGATCCAGAGGATATGTTGGAGCGCTTCCCCAATCTGTTCATTTCCAATAAATATGCAATAGCAGACATGAACCTCTGAAATAATTTTCAGAGTGGGGAGTAAGGCATTATATTTTTGACTCTGGCTATGTCCTAGATTATAGGTTTGAAAAACTGTTATACTTTATAATCTGCAATAAACCGTAGAACACCAGGTACAGTGTTTCAAATACCTGCTAAGAAGTAGGGTCAAGTACATCTAAAGCAGTTATTTACTTCCAGAAGCATGAATATTGGGGACTTTGGAATAACTACCTGTGTTCAAAATGAATCTCAACATAAGAATTTTCCCAAAGTATAAAAGCAACTTACTGAATACAATAATGGCAAATGTTACTGAGTTGAGATTATTATAATTTTTATGTTTAATGCTGTCCACAAATATAATTAAACTGATATTGCAGTGCAATACTTGTCACTACCTAAAATCTGTGTGAACAGTGATGAGTAAAAATGAGAAACCCCAGGTCATATAAACCCAATTTCCTAAGGATACAAGTGAAAACTCAATATAATTTAAATGTAACCTGCATAACCAGAAAAATAAGCTCCATGGTTTTTGCCTTGAGTTCTCTAGCTACTACTTAACATTTCACCTGAATTACCACCATTCAACAGAATATTTAAGATGTCAGAACTAATTTGGGCTACTTAGAAATCCTATCCCTACGGTAGTGGGGTGGGAAAGAACCAGTATAGAATATACTTTTCCTGTAACTTAGATGTTCAGTATTATAGAAGAGGAAGCAAGAGCCAAACTGTCCACAAGAGAAAATATGCAACAAAGAATGAAGAACTGAAGTGAGGCAAGATATGTTGTTCCAAAGATTGTAATAGAAAATTATAAACAAAAATCTAAAACCTAAAGTTTAAGTTCAAATATTTAGGGTAGACTTTTCCTAAGTGATTAGTTTTGGCCTAAATTATCATATTAAAGTTAACGGTAACACTTCTACTGACTCTAATGGGAGTCTAATTAGGGCACCACTGAACACTTTGGAAAATCTCATTCTTTTTTATTGTTTATATCTCCAAAGCACTAAAAAGAAAGAGATACAGAAGGAGGACTATTCACAGAACACTTCTAATTTGCATCCAGCTCTAAAACACTGCTATAAAACAGAAAAGTGAACGTTTTTCATGTAAAATTCCATAAAGCGAAACTAAATATCACATAGCTGTTTGCTAAACTTTGCTTAAATTTTGGCATATATCTACTGAGCATGATCAGAAATGGCTTTTCAGTTGCCTATATATTGTTCCTAATTGGTGAAGGAGCTCTTCCAACAAGTGCCCAAGTTGGACCCTTGCCAACTCTGTGCAGCCATTTCTATGTCACATTTGTTTAAAGCTGAAAAAGTTTCAGCTTCTCTCCCTCCCTCCCTCATCCATATCTCTAGACTGTCTAGAGACTTATCAAACTTTCAAAAAGTTCAACCTTGACCCTGGACTAAGCCTGGAAAATTTCTGTACGAAGTGTATTTGTTTTGAGAAAATTATGAACATGTGAATACAGCTGATTAAAAGGAAGCCAGAACATCACTCAACCTTAAGTCTGTGCTGTTGGAAAACTTGTAGCCTTCTATTTTGAGGTGTAATTTCAAAGTATACAATTATAATTTCATTTACTAAAAGAAATTTTTTTTCCCCCTTAATGTTTTCAGGATGATGTGTTGCATTAGTTCATTATGTGTACAGTGACATTGGGGATATAATGGAATTTGATTAAGATAGCAGTAGTCAGTCATAGAAGTGGATTGTATGACTGGATTATAACACACACACACACACACACACACACACACACACACACACACACACGGATTCCTGGGAGATAAAATTGCTGAGTTGCTGAGTGGAAACTGAAGAAGTACTTGAAAATGTGGTGACATGAGGCTAAACATTTATGACTACATAGTCATATGGTTACTTCTCACTCATACATAACAGCACTCACTCATGGTCACGTGGGTAGACTGGCTAACTAACTTCCATGAGTTTACTTGTATAATTGCTCATCAAGTTGATTAAGGGTTGCACAAACCAGATCCTAATTATTTCTCTATTTCATTATGGACCTGCACCTGATGTAGTAGGAAAAATGAATCACTGTCCCACATACCACATAAGTCATCTCTAAAGCACTGGCATTCCAGTGAAGTAATGGCACTATGGAGGAACACCTCTGCTTTCTGCAACGTCCTAGAATTTGCAACAAGGACCATTAGTGAAAGGGTTAATCAGAGACAAGCATATTTGTTGATAAGCAAATTGTATTTGCATAATTAATAGCAATGAGAAAAGGCAAGTAATGAATTCATAAACCAATAACAATAACTGCAATGAAATAGCAGAGTAATTTGATTTTATAATGTAATTATATAGTAGATTAATAACACACAGCAGAGTTCAATCCAGTATCAAACTGCCTCAGCAACTGTCAGCATGCAGAAGCTCCAGGGCTCCACAACCACTTTATACATGGAGGCAATTTGCCAGTCTTTACAAGAAATGTAAAAACTTACTGCTTTCAAGAACGTCTCTCAGCCCAGAAGCACTCTTGGTAAGGCAGCTAGATGTTTCCTCATGGGTGCTGGAGTCATTCTGGGATGTCATAGTCAGTGATCCAGGGCTAAGAGTCTTGAAGGGGCAACTGTCCGAAGATACGTTTCATTGGGGAGGACAGGCTTCTCCAGTGAACTATAGGACCAAACAGATATGATTTTATTTTCTTTATTGTCACTTCCTGTTAGCTTCTTCTGGTTCTTCTACTGGATTTTACTTAGCATCTAATTCTCTACTTAGCATCTTGGTCAATCCAAGAAAGCGTTGTTCTCCTTGTCTTAAGTGACCTTAAACTTGTCTGAAAACACAACTGAAGCTTCAGCGCTCTCTCGTCAGTCAGCTTTTGAGTTTAGCTCAAGGAAAGGAAAGAACAGACGTTTAGCTCTGTCAGACAGGATTTCTTTGATAAAGAGGGACACTTAGTATTCAGCAAGGTATCCTGATACGGAATGTCAGAAAGGGTGATCTGTACTGTGCACTCCCGATTTCCTCTTCTCCTTGTGGAGATTCTATGTGCACATATAAAGTGCATCTGATCCTCCAATTTTGGAGCAACTGGGTTATTAAACCAGGTGTGACTTTTTCAGCAATGACACACACCAAGACTGAGACAGTGCATTTTGGCCTTATTCTTTACATTCTAAGGGCAGTGGTGTCTTAGTAGTTTTTCCTTTATTAGGTAGCACAATCCAGTCTCAGGCAGAGTATTTTATCTCCTCTTTTAAAATTTATGTTTTCAATTTTCACTTGTTCCCCTTTACCAGATGTATTTCAAAGTTACCAACGTTATCAGATAAACCTCTTTTTGATTTAGAAGTGATTAGCTCTAGCAATGCACATCTTGAGTGCATGTTTGGCTGCAATGAAGACGAATATGGATAATACATCGGAGAAAAGTATGTCCCAAGTTCCTGAAGAATGTGACCTGAGACATTTTCCCAGTATGTTTTTACTTTAACTTTGACATTGTGTGCTGCCAGATGCATTTTTTTCCTGTTTGTTTGTTTATTTAGTATCCACAGATAATTATTTCCCAGCCTAATGAAAGGGACAGAAGAGATCTCACTGTAGAAACTCTGCAAATAAAATTCTGTTTCCTCCTTCCTTTGCAGACCAAGTTCTCTGGCTCCCCTCCTGCCAACTGCACATTGATAGACAAGGCTTTTGCATCCCCTTGCAAGAAAAAAAGGAGTCAAAGGATGGTGCATCTTCAAATAGAAGAGATATAATGGGCCAGCTCTATGCACATGGCTTAGTGAGTGATGGACCCACAGATGGGGCCTACTATTCCTATTCTTATCAGCTAAAGGAGTGATAGGAATAGTAATTTTCCTTTAGTTCAAGTGTCAGACGCCTGAATTTTTGGAGCTGAAGGTCTGGGGTTCTAGGCCCATCTTTGTGGGTGTAAGCGGGGGAATGGTCCCGCTATTGTGGGGAACTTTCCTGGCTTCTGCACTACCCC